AACAGTTACAGGTAACATATGGAACAGTTACAGGTAACATATGGAAACCTCACAGGTAACCTATAGAACAGTCACAGGTAACATATGGAACAGTCACAGGTAACATATGGAACAGTCACAGGTAAGATATAGAACAGTTACAGGTAACATATGGAACAGTAACAGGTAACAAATGGAACAGTCACAGGTAACATATGGCACAGTCACAGGTAATATATAGAACAGTTACAGGTAACATATAGAACAGTTACAGGTAACATATGGAACGGTCACAGATAACATATTAACGGCTACAGGGAACAAATGGAACAGTTACAGGTAACATATAAAACAGTTACAGGTAACATATGGAAACCTCACAGGTAACATATAGCAAAGTTACAGATAACATATGGAACAGTTACAGGTAACAAATGGAAGAGTTACAGGTAACATATAGAACAGCTACAGGTAACATATGGAACAGTCAAAGGTAACATATGGAATGGTCACAGGTAACATAGTAACGGTTGCAGGTAACATATAGAACAGCTACAGGTAACAAATGGAACAGTCACAGGTAACATATAGAACAGTTACAGGTAACATATAGAACAGTTACAGGTAACATATGGAACAGTTACAGGTAACATATGGAACGGTCACAGATAACATAGTAACGGCTACAGGGAACAAATGGAACAGTTACAGGTAACAAATGGAACAGTTACAGGTAACATATGGAACAGTTACAGGTAACATATGGAACAGTTACAGGTAACATATGGAACGGTCACAAATAACATAGTAACGGCTACAGGGAACAAATGGAACAGTAGGGAACAAATGGAACAGTTACAGGTAATATATAGAACAGTTACAGGTAACATATGGAAACCTCACAGGTAACATATAGCACAGTTACAGATAACATATGGAACAGTTACAGGTAACAAATGGAACAGTTACAGGTAACATATAGAACAGTTACAGGTAACATATGGAACAGTCACAGGTAACATATGGAATGGTCACAGATAACATAGGAACGGTTGCAGGTAACATATAGAACAGTTAGAGGTAACATATAGAACAGTTACAGGTAACATATAGAACAGTCATAGGTAACATATGGAAACCTCACAGGTAACATATAGCACAGTCACAGGTAACATATGGAACAGTTACAGGTAACAAATGGAACAGTCACAGGTAACATATGGCACAGTCACAGGTAACATATAGAACAGTTACAGGTAACATATAGAACAGTTCAGGTATCATATGGAACAGTATGGAACGGTCACAGATAACATAGTAACGGCTACAGGGAACAAATGGAACAGTTACAGGTAATATACAGAACAGTTACAGGTAACATATGGAAACCTCACAGGTAACATATAGCACAGTTACAGATAACATATGGAACAGTTACAGGTAACAAATGGAACAGTTACAGGTAACATATAGAACAGTTAGAGGTAACATATGGAATGGTCACAGATAACATATGGAACAGTCACAGGTAACATATGGAACAGTCACAGGTAACATATAGAGCAGTTACAGGTAACGAATGGAACAATTACAGGTAACATATGGAACAGTTACAGGTAACATATAGAACAGTCACAGGTAACAAATGGAACTGTCGCAGGTAACATATGGAAGAGTTACAGGTAACATAGGAAAAGTCACAGGTAACCTATGGAACAGTTACATGTAACATATGGAACAGTTACAGGTAACAAATGGAACAGTCACAGGTAACAAATGGAACAGTCACAGGTAACATATGGAATGGTCACAGATAACATAGTAACGGCTACAGGGAAGAAATGGAACAGTTACAGGTAACATATAGAACAGTTACAGGTAACATATGGAAACCTCACAGGTAACATATAGCACAGTTACAGATAACATATGGAACAGTTACAGGTGACAAATGGAACAGTTACAGGTAACATATAGAACAGTTACAGGTAACATATGGAACAGTTACAGGTTACGTATGGAATGGTCATAGATAACATAGTAACGGTTACAGGTAACATAGTAACGGCTACAGGGAACAAATGGAACAGTTACAGGTAATATATAGGATGGTTACAAGTAACATATTGGAAAATTACAGGTAACATAGAGAAGAGTCACAGGTAACACATGGAACAGTTACAGGTAACATATGGAACAATTACAGGTAACATATGGAAACCTCACAGGTAACATATAGAACAGTCACAGGTAACAAATGGAACTGTCGCAGGTAACATATGGAAGAGTTACAGGTAACATAAGAAACAGTTACAGGTAACATAGGAAAAGTCACAGGTATCATATGGAACAGTTACAGGTAACATATGGAACAGTCACAGGTAACATATAGAATAGTTACAGGTAACATATGGAAACCTCACAGGTAACATATAGCACAGTTACAGATAACATATGGAACAGTTACAGGTAATAAATGGAACAGTTACATGTAACATATGGAACAGTTACAGGTAACATATGGAACAGTCACAGGTAACATGCTTGCTTAAAGTACAAAAAAGAACAATGGATGACATTACAACCATGTATTAATAGAAGATATGGGTCAGTTGTTGTTACATGACTTCGCAACTATGGAATTGCTGATGTTCATGTAATTGAAATATCGCCTTTCTCGCAGAAGGTTACTGAAATATTATTTATTTACCATGGCAACAAACATAAACTCCAGTCATCAGACATGTCAACATTTCGAAAAATATATTTTTAATGGAAATGTTTATCAGAGAAGAAATCTGTATATATCTATTTATCTGACGTTAATATATTACTGTGACAATGTCAACTGTTGACTAAATATTCAGGTTGACGACAATAGAAGCACGTGTTGTTGTCGTCACAAACGTAATCATAGTTTTGTTAACACGTAAGTTTCATTTCCTTGTTTCACACACAAAAGGGTAATTATAAGAGAAAAATGTACAAGCTGTAACCGCATCAAATGAGATGATGATAAATTCTATTTCAATTTTTTTATAATAAAGTATACCCTTATCGTAACATCTATATAATCATAATCGGATATTTTTCCGTTGGTTTGTAATAATCTTTATTTTCAAACAAATTTGCAAACAAAATTGGTTATTGAGCATCGATATGCAATTATGATGTGATGGTGCTTTCAGTCATATTCATCGCAGCGGATTCCCTCAAAATGTGTTAAAATACTGGTATTCCCTGCAAAATATATATTCTGACTCCAGGAAATAATACATATGTATATGTAGTTAGCCTCCGAGATCAAATATCAGTACCCTAGTGTCTTTATAAAGGGGTTTACTAACTGTACATGTAGAAACTAACGCCGGTGATGGTAATTTAAGCTTGCTCTGTCTCCGATATCTAGGCTATATTTGACACTTGTTACTTGTGTTGACACGAGGAAGTATTTTGCTTCTCCTGTTCTCAGATTTGAACTTGCTAGCGTCAGTAGTAATTCAACCAGATTTTGTTTTTCAGGTAACGAATATTATATGCGAATGTAAATATATGCATTGAAACGGTAGCAGGTGGCAGTGTACACCAAATTGTGTCAAATCAACTGTAATCATCTACTTGGTAACAGTTTAGACATATCATTACTAGGTCCATAACGTCAATATCCTGAAGAAAGCTTATTGTGAATTGTTTCCCGGGGTATTTTTTCCGCTTTTGGATGAGGATTTATTGAAATAAACTATCTTATCACGAGTAGATTATTCACACAATGTGCATTTCAAGGACACCGCTTGTGTCTAAAGTCCTATGTCTGAGTCATATTTAAATGCATCACATGTGTAGACCGGTCGGAAGAGTTACTAGCGAGGGTATAATGTCATGGATGATTTATAGTAATATCACAAATCATCAGATACTTCGTGTGATTTCACAATAATCAGTGCAACAACTAAATTGAAGCAGGATATAAATCAATGAATTATTCATGAGTAGAGTAGACCTCAAGTGATTTTAATCAAAATACAGGACGTTTATTCAGAAAAAATACCTCTATTGACCAACGCCAAACAAGTCACTCCTCACTAACAAGGGACATAACTCTTATCCAAGACGAGATAATCAATAATTTTATTCTGGATTATATCAACAATACTTTAGGGTGGAAACTGGAACTCATCAACATTTAGTGATGCAATTTATATCCGTGTGCTAGTAAACAGAAGTGGGATACAGAACAAAGGATACAGTGAAACATGATAAAATCCTGTTTGTAAAATTATGATCTATTTAAAATATACCGCCAGTCTATCATCTGCCAAATATCAAGTTAGGCTCTAGTTCAACATGCATCATTTGTATATTGTGATGTTTGAATATTCTGAAATGTCAAATTAAATAGGGCATCAGGTGGAGTAAATGTTCATGTAATTTGACCAATCAGTGAGTGACAGAAGAGCAATTCAAATAATTATGATTTAAAGTGCAGCTGTGCTACTAACCTATTCGCTGTGAAATATAGTTATTTTAATTACTATGTAAATAAACGGATTTGAACAAATTAGTAACAGGGTTATAACTTAATTTGTGGAATTTCATGCCATACAGTTACTCATCCGTTTGTTCGTTCGTTCGTTCAGAAATACAGACAGCCAGGCAGGCAGACAGCTAAGCAGACAGCTAGGCAGACAGACAGACAGACATGTTTATCTCGACCGAACAGGCTGTGGGGTGTACACAACACTACAGAATTAACATCATCCCTTATTTTTGATTTGATATAAACAGATTTCGCGTTAGCAGTCGTTTTCCATTTTGTACATGGCGAAGGACTGTGCTGCACAGAAGCTTACAAAGCAAGCTGTGCATACCGACGGCTGACGATAGCCAGGTAGTACGCGTGCTAAATTGTACAGATGGATATCGTGTGATACTTAACATACTTTGATAAGGACATGTGTTGATGTGAGACACATTACAAAGCTATATGTAGATTTAACCAACAACATAGGAGTTTAACTTACCGCTGAGCCCAGCTCCGATTATAATCACGTCCACCTGACTGGCTGTCATCCTTATCACTGTACATGACAGGAAAACACTCGAGAGATTTATCGTAACGGCATCGGCACTCCTCGGCATTTTTCCTTCATTGGTTGTTGGACGTTAGTAATTCAATCGATAATGGTCAGAAGGGTTACGGATCGATCTTCGCCTTATCTATTCAACATTGAGCATATCCTTTGGCTAGTCAATGAGATAGATGTTTAAGGAAAGGAAAATATATATCATACATATATATATACAGTTGTGTACATATGGAATCCAAACAGAATACTTAATAGTACAATATTATCCAATGATGTGCTGTATTCCTGTTTATTCTCCTTCTCTTTTTATCATTACAGCTAGCTACTCTATAGTTATATAATGATACTGCCCCACCGGGTATGTACAGTCCTATAAGGCAATGCCATATCTTTTGTAAAATTATTCATGATATGCAAATGAAATCCTCACATTTTGAGATATCGAGTGAAAAAGTACCTTGCCTCAATCTTGGTATATTAACAACTATCCGTGTAGCCGTTATAATCTATAGCTGATTATCATATAATGCTTTGCTTTCGTTTACTATATACTAAGTAGCCTTTGGATTCTTTCTAACTATTATCTAAAAGTATAAGACAAGCGTCACTTCTTTTGTGATGTTATCATCAACTCTACCGATTAAACAGGTCCTTTATAAACTTTTTAGCACAATCGCGAAACGAACTTCATGGTGGTATAAATGACTCTTGGTGGCCCGGATGGAAGCGCGGGTGGGGTCTTCCTGTGGGAGGAAACAAAAGTATTTCGGGTTGAACCACGTAACAGGCAGGTGACCCCTACACCTTTTCACGTAAGTTCCTGGAATCAAACCCCGGACGCTTGGGTGAAAGGTGAGTGCTCGATCGGTTGTATTTTTCTTTTCTATGAATTTATGATAATAATTTACACAAAACCACGTATTTACTACTTTTGGATGTTGGTGTTTTTATTTTTGTAAACAATATGGGATGACCTGTAGTGGTGACCTTATCCCATTATCATATGTATGTTTTGTACATGAACACGTGGTTTAAGTATGTACTGAAGATGCCGGAAATTCCGTATAGGTAATCCGTATATAAAAAGATAGGCAATCATTATATATAGTGAGATTATAATGAAATTATTTCATTGTCATTATCAAAGATTTAAACATTAATTTTTGTTTGAATACACTACCTAATTTTCATATTTTCTGGTCAACCAACTCTCTACCTGTGGGTATTGCCTGTCGCTCGCAGAGGCAGCACGGCCGGTAATTCACATTCTAGTTAGCTTAGTTGTACTCTCGTTTTATCATCACAACTTTCTGACGTCTTTCCATGATCTTATAACATGTACTTGATTTATCTAATATTGTCAACATTGCTATGTTGAGTTGACTGAGATGTATCTATGCGTTTTTTGTACTGTATTTGTATATATGTGTTTAATACTCCAAACCTACAGTTTGTAGAATATAACTAGTCATACTCTTCAATCATATCCAAAATATTGAATGATGCTACTTTATCGAGTATTCTCTGATATGACTACATAGATTAGTGGGTGCTCTATATATATATACTCCAAGTATCATATAGTCATATATTTAGTTTTCATCATCAGTAATAGTTAGGCTCTCTCTCTCTCTCTCTCTCTCTCTCTCTCTCTCTCTCTCTCTCTCTCTCTCTCTCTCTCTCTCTCTCTCTCTCTCTCTCTCTCTCTCTCTCTCTCTCTCTCTCTCTCTCTCTCTCTCTCTCACTTGTGTATCTTATTTTTGACAATGGATTAAAAAAAAACAAAAAAACATATCCTTCCTGGTATGGAGGGAGCAGTGACTGATACTTAGACCTTAATGACATTTCTGGTGAATCCCTGAACTTATCTCCCATAAGTAATCACTATGATTTAATGTTAATACACTTATTAATGTTATGTGACACGGTGATATCGCAAACCTCGAACTTATCCTCCTGCGGGATCAGAATGAAGTGTTTGAACTGAACAAGTAAATCAAAACAATCAATCATAAATGAAGATACAGAACTACTTACAAACACTGATGATATTGATAAAGTGATTGTTTGTTGTGGCCACATCTATCATATTTATCGATTTTAATTGGCGCAACAAATTGCTTTAACAGCATGATGATGCAAAAGGAACATTTAGTTGCACATCTTCAGTATCAAAACAATTCGAATGCAAATTCGCTGAATGTAGGACCAAATGTGGACAGAAGTATCACATACAGAGAAAATGTATCACGAGGACACGATCAGGTTTTCTGCTTCATTGACAATAACCACCTAATGAATCCTGGGAAATTCATTCAAGTAATGTCACGTCCTCTAATGAGAACAAGGGTAATAATAACAACGAAAACACCAGGAATACTAACGATTCACAGTCTGGTGTGGAGTAAAACTCACATTGGTTCCTACAGAATCTTATTGAATTTATCAGCCGATAGAATCAATGGAGCACGCACAATTTTAATCGATAAAGAGTCATACAATCAATCATAGATTCGCACAGGACAGAATGAAATATATGTATATGCGGAAGTCGATTATTTGCATTATATGTAAAATCAAAGTACTGAAAGTACTGAAAGGCTAAACGTATTGAAAAATGTTCACAAATAACCGCAAAGCTATATTACTTTCCCCATACTCCTACAATTTGGAATGCAAAAATTACTGAAATAAGAGAACCAGAGGCTATTTTTCTTAATTTTAAGCGATTTTATATCTTCTTTAATTCTTCTTTCAAATCTGACGACAATATTGTGAACAAATCAAAATAGGTAAAAAGATACATAACAAAATACAAACAACCATATATCTATCGCCAACAAGCCAAATGATAAATAGCTCTATGATGAAGTTGGCTAAATAAAACCTTTGAAATACCCACGGTGTTGCAATTACTATATAATTACTATCAATATGAGGATTTAGACAAATCGAAAGGACTTTATACCTACTTCTTTATTTTAAATGTATTGCAAAGTAATAGTCCTTACTTATTATAATCATATTTGTAGTTGAGGAAAGTAGATAAGGTGTACACAGCATTTCAGATCGATTAAAGTGTAAGTAAGTACATTAAATGTATTTACATGCCTATCTTCCTTGAAGTATCATTGTTAGACTTTTCTTCCAGTAATTATGTCTATAAAGACATAGTTCTTTGAGATTAAACCAGACTTCCATATATATACAAAATTTACAATATTTTCACTATAGCTACTACCACTTCTGATCTCCAATGCATTAGATAATGTCACCATGACACGTTAAATGAATAAATATGGTATGGAAATATTTCGTTCTAGTTAATTGATAATTATAGTCATGAATATTTTGGGTTTTTTTTACACGCGCTTTGTTTGAAGGAATATTTTCATTTCAAGGAACTTTGATACACATTAACAAACCTTGAGAAATCAGCACAATCAACCTTCATCAAATAAAACTAAAAGACAAAAATATAAGTTATAACAGAGTCAACATCATGATCAGTACAGTATTAAAAATATATTATTCATAAATCATGAGCACCAAATGTACCTTGCCTACGAAGCGCAAACTTTTTATCTTCAAAAACTTGAAAAAGTGTCATGGCGGTGGGTGTGAAAAACCTGAAAAAGTGTCATATCGGCGGGTGTGCGCGTGGGACGAACAGTCCAATTCGGTGACGTCTAATGAGGTAAAGTGATGTTATATATTAAGACGATCCTGCCACAACGACAAGGATTAAAACAAAATTGATGTTCTGTTTGTAAGTTTTGTTTGTTTATAAGTGTTGTTAGTTGATAATTCAAACCAAGCCCCAGACTAGCTTCTTATCAACTCGCATGTGCAGTGTTCTGTACGCTTACGTCATGTCGAGAATTCCCTAAAATATATTGTTCAAAATTTATCAATAGTTCAACCACACTGTGCTTCTTTTTTAAAATATATAGTAATCGTATTGTTATCAAAAATATAAACTAATTTTGGATGCTTTTAAAATAGCGATTTGAAAGATCGTGGCATTATTTACGCAGAAAATTGCCGCTAGAGGGCTCTAACTCTTTTCGATATTTCAGCCAATGAGAGGGCCAGGATCGGTAAATTTTGTCTGAAAGGCCGTCTCAATAGGCTATGCGTACTGAGTACGTTTAGCCTAAAAAGCCAGAAAATACCAAAACGGCAACATGATAATAACCCAAACTCAAATTATATAGGGCAACACAGGAACAAAAGTAAAAATGTATTAGGAGACTCCTGAAAGAGCAGAAGGAGAATAGGACCAGGTGTTCCAAAAGAGTAAGTGTATTCTGCTTCATCGACGACATCCGCCATGTAAACCTTTGTCAAACCAAGTAAGTAATATCACGTTCTCAAATGAGAACACTTTATACAACAAAGGAACCAACAAGAAAACTAACGAGCACCTATCTGACGAGTTTGTTCGTCAGTTGACGACTTCTTTTAAGAAAATCTTGATTATGGACATAGGCCTTTGAATATAAAATCAGTGCGGATAACTCACATTGATGGTCATGGTTAATAAGGTAAGAGATTTATAATTGTTATAAGCGAGATATATACAATAAACATAACGACATTAAAGTTGGTTAAACAAAGAAATTAATTTCCATTTAGAATGACGACAGTCAGAAATACTTGCCAATTCTGGCATTAGCTTCACGCAAAATTCAACCTGTTTTGTACAAATCCGGAGTGAAAAACGTTTACTTTCTTCTATAGATACATAAACAAGTGGACATGTCATTCAACTGTTCGTCTCGATTAATACGAACTTTCATCATCCAACAATGAATGACAGTGTGTTTAACGAGTCACGCAGGCAGTGCCCTCACTCATGTCTAGTCTCGTACAATTTGAATGCGACACCGCGTCACTACTACTGACAATATCCTGCCACATGTTTGCAAAAAAGCTCTGACGCCTTAGTGTGTGCGTGATATAAAGGCTTAATTATTTGTA